GATACCACTTCTGTGAGAATTGGCACTTAGGTCTGCTCTTGAGTTTACCTTTTAATTTTTATGGGAAGTTTATACAGTTTGAGAAAATATGACTAGTGATCATCACACTTGTTAGATTATCTGCTTGGTTAGTCTTCTTCACCTCAGAGCTTACCTGCATTTAATTGGATCTTATCTCTGTGGCCTCTCTTTGGCTAGGGTAAGATGGGAATAATTTTGTTACCCAACTTGTTTTATGCATGTGTAAGGAGTATCTGTGAGTAATAACAAGAATCTGAGATCCTTAGGAAAAAACTAATAATATACCAAGGTACTATTCAAATAATGGCACTTGAGACCCAGTATATTTGATGAGTTACCATGGTTCAGAACTTGTTAGGATACTTGTTCAATTCCAAAGAAGACATAAAGATGGCCAACAGGTACATGAAAAAGTGCTCAACATTACTAATCATCAGAGAAATGAAAATCAAAACCACAGTTCTCATAACTCTTAGAATGGCTATTATCAAAGGAATAACAAGTGTTGTCCAGGATGTGGAGAAAAGGGAACCTTGTACTGGTGGAATGTAAATTGGTGCAACCACTATAGAAAATAGTGTGGAGTTTCCTCAAAAAATTAAAAATTGAACTACTCTATGATCCAGCAGTTCTACTTCTGGGTATTTGAAGAAAACAAAAACACTAACTCAAAAAGATACATGCACCCCTTTACATTGTCTGCATTATTTGCAATATTAAGATATGGAAACAACCTAAGTATTTGTTGATGGATGAATGGGTAAAGAAAATGTGACATATATCTGTGATTATAATTCAGTCATGAAAAGAAGGAAATCTTGTCATTTGTGACAACATGAATGGACCCTGAGGGCGTTATGCTAAGTAAAATAAGTCAGACAGAGAAAGACAAATATTGTATATGGAATCTAAAAATAAAACAAAAAAAGACACCAGCCCTGGCTGGGTAGCTCAGACGGTTAGGGTGTTGTCCTGCTACGCCACAGTTGTGAGTTCAATCTCTGGTCAGGGCACATACACATATAAGAAGCAACCAGTGAATACATAACTAAGTGGAACAATAAATCGATCTCTCTCCCCAGTCCTCTCCCCCCGCCGCCACCCTTCCCTCCCTTCCCTCCTGTCCTCTCTCCCTTCTTTCCTCTCCCCTCCTCAAATCAATAAAAATAAATAAACGTAGCTCATAGATACAGAGAATAGATTGGTAGTTAACCAGAGGCAGTGGTAAGGTGTGTGGGGAGGGGGTGAAATGGGGAAAGAGGGTCAAAAGGTACAAACTTGCACTTATTACATAAATCCCTAGGATGTAATGTACAGCTTAGTGACTATAGTTAATTATACTGTGTTGCATATTTGAAGGTTGCTAAAGAGTAAATCTCATCACAAGAAAGAAATTTTGTGACCATGTATGGTGAATGATGTTAATTAGACTTATTGTGGTGATTATTTCACACCATATACAAGTATCAAATCCTCATGTTGTATACTTGAAATGAATATAATGTTATGTAAATCTTAATTATACTTCAGTTTTAAAAAATTGTTCAAGGTTGGTGTGATATATGGGATAATCAAACTCAGATATTTCTGTCTTTTCAGTGCCTAAAATAACTTTCATCTGATTTTTGAAGCCAGCAAAAACAATAATAACAAAGCCTATAGTACATACAAATATGTCAGTGATAGTGTAAATAACATACTTTTTTCAAAATGTTCCTAAATGTGTGCTATTTGAAATAATTCCAAGAAATTTCTAAGATGGTTCCTAATAGAGGGAAATAAATGATAAAAAGAAAACTCATTCTCAATTACTCCTCATCTCCTTTATGAATCTTCTCTAATAGCATTTAACTGCATTTTTTATTTAAAAATTTATTTCTGATAGAGTATACATGCTCTTCTATCATAGAATGAGATTTTTTTTCCTGCCTTATTTCCCAGCAATGGAGTTAGGTAAATCTTGGGCTTTCTTTGCATGTAAAAATAAAAGAATTGTTAAATCACTAAATATTTTTGATGGGAATTAAAAATAACTTTCTCTGTAATGCTGAGAGGCATTTCAGCTCTAGTTATTTAATGCTCAGTTTTTATATCTACTTGAATTGTTGGTTTAAGAGGCAATATTAGCAGGTGAATAGACAAGTTAAGATGTTTAATTATTGCTTTCCCTTTTTTGGTGAACTCATGATTTAAAAGATAAATATTCCCTCAGTGGCTCTCTTACCCTCTGACTTCTGGTTGGGTTTGGCACTTGGGCAGCATGGGCAGGACATCACGCAAGGAGGAGAGTGAGGTAGGGGTATTTGTTCCCCCCGATCTTTCCCTGAGGGGTCACTGTGGGCTTATTGTGACCTTTGACTAAAGGTCATAGGTAGTGTCCTATGGTCCTTACTGCACCAGATGAAACAAAGAGGGAAAAGCCCTTTGTCTGTGGGTTCCAGTAATTGATGTCTCCTTGCACCTCTTTAGAACCTCAGGGTAGCAATGCACATTGCTGTTATTAGCCAAAGGGTAACTGCACTACATCTTGTGGTTTCCTTACTCCCTTCTAGAACCTTCTAAAATAGTCTTTTTAAAACACTCTCAGATTTCCTGATTTGAGCTTGCCATTTGTTTCCTGCTGGGATCCTGACTGAAATAACTGCTTTATGTATTTTTAACTATTACCCTTACTCGTATGCCAGCTGAACCCTAGTAATAATACTGTGCTAATTTTAGAGGGATAATAACTGAAGGTGTTTGCAGAACTACCCTTTGTTTTCCTTGTACTTTGTTTCAGCTAGTGTGTTGTTAAAGAAAAAAATAGTGTTAGATGATGTATTGTATAAGAAGCTTATAATACTGATAGTTCATTTAAATATGGACACCACAATGCTGCTTTACTTTGTATCCCTTCTTTTCCATAAAAGAGACTGGTGGTTTGATTATCTAATAAGATTATTGAATTCCCTTATATCATCTCACTGCTCATTAATATTTCTCTGGGAGAGAGTACTTACAATATTCAAGTTGTATCATTTGGTTAAGCTATAGCAGTTCTGAGCAGATTTGCTGGATAGTATTTCGTCTGCATAGTATTTTCATGCTTATATATTGTCTCTCTTCAATTATTAAAGGTAACTAGAAATTAAGTATGTAGTCATCTGGAAAACTAAGCCTTAAATACTGAATTTGTGTTTAAGTACAGCCTGATTTCTCATTTGTTAACATTCTCAAACTGCCAGTATTACAGAGGTTAAATCTAAATGAATTCACTGTTCATTGGTAATTGGTGAGCAAAGTGTGCCTTGGAATGACATACATTGTATTCATATCCTCTTTTCCACTTTTAGTACCAAAATGTGTTATTGTAACTTATAAATTGTCAGTCTTCTATAGCCACTAGGAGGTATTTGAAAACACAGGATAAAGATTGAGCTGTAAAAGAGGCTTTACTTAAAACACATCTGTAATAATAGCAAAAGGATTTGGGCCCTGGCTGGTGTGTCTCAGTGGACTGAGTGTCGACCTGCAAACTGAAAGGTGACCTGTTTGATTCCCATTCGGGGCCCATGCCTGGGTTACTGGCCAGGTCCCCCATTGGGGATGCTCGAAAGGCAACTGATCGATCTATCTCACACATCAATGTTTCTCTCTGTCTTTTCTCTTTTCTCTAAAAATAAATTAAAAAAAAAAAGAATTTGGAAAATGTACTAGAATATTGCTGTATTTTTTAAATCCCTGTCCATTCGGGTTACTGTAACAAAATGGGTAGCTTTTAAACAACAGAAATTAATTTCTCACAGTTCTAGAGGCTGGAAGTCTGAGGTCAGAGTGTCAGCATGGTTGGATGAGGGCCCTTCTGCTGGCTCCCAGACTTCTCATTGTGTCCTCACTTGGTGGCAGGGGCTAGGGAGGCTCTGGGCGATTGCTTTTGTAAGAGCTCTAATCCCATTCGTGAGGGCTCCACTCTCATGATTTATTTACCCAACTACTAATACTATCCCTTTAGGATTTCAGCATAAGAATTTGGGGGCGGGGTGGGGGGGCAGGGACACAAACATTCAGAACATAGCAACCCTTTTTTCCAAACTTTCCCTTTTTCTTGCTTTGTTGAAATCCTAGCCCCCAAGCTACTCCCAAGTATGGTGCTTGAATTAGCAATGTTGATACCACCAGGGAGTAAAAATCTCACGCCACAGGCTAGGCTACTGAATCAGAACCTACATTTTAAACTGAGATTTCCTAGATAAGTATACCCGTCAGAATCTGAGAAGCATTCTAACCATTTCTTGGATTGCATCTCATTAGATTAAAACAAAGTTGTCAAGTGTTTAAAGCTGAGGTAATTCATAATAGTCTCAGGTAAAGGAATTGATTAAATGTGTGGATAGCCTTTTCTTTATAAGTACAGGGAAGCCAAACTCTTTCTGTAATCAATCACATTAAACTAAGTTTTCCCATGTTGTGTTGGTAATGTAAACTCAGGTACATTGCTTCATCAAGCATTATATTGGGAACACAAACACGAATGAATTCATGGAGTTCATAGTCTAAAAACACAATGTGTGTGATACAATCTAGAAGGTTGAAATTACTTTCATGTGTTGTTGTTATTGTTGTTACTGTTAATACCACAGACGCTCCCATCCTCTCTCACATTTTCAGATTTGTTAATGTTAAATTTTACCTTGGGAAGCCATTTACTTTCAACATTTCTAGAGGGACTTTTAACAAAGATATTAAGGATTACTGGACAGTTTAATATAGTTTCTGTATTTAGTGTTTTTCTCAAGCTGTGACAGTTTCTATTAAAATCAAATTTTATTTTATAATTTTAACTCAAGTATAGTTATCAGGGATCTATATAATAGAATTTACAAAGTAAGTTAACTTTTTAAGGCAGAGAAGCAGCTAATACTGGCCCTTCCATTTGGAGGATGGATCACATAAATCAGTTTTGGACCTTGTTGAATATATTTTTTCCCTTATTCTTTCAGATTCATCAGGATTCATTTTTGATTTGCAGTCCAATACTGTACTGGCCCAGGGAGGAGCTTTTGAGAACATGAAAGAAAAGGTATGATTAGTTACTGTAGATAAGTAATTTTTAACTGATGTGCTGCAAGAATTTTTAAAACATGCAATACCTGAATGTTTAGTCAGAGGTACTGACCTCTTCTCCCTGTCAAAAAAAAAAAGACAACAGCCAACACAGCAATAGCTGTCCAGTGTGAATGAATCAAAGTTATATTTTTCAGTTAATTTTTTTTTGTTATATTGGCAAAAAATATACCTTTGGTGGGCTGCAGAATTTTTGTAATTAGTTTACATGTGCCTTGAGATGAAAAAGGTTGAAAATCACTGCTGTAGATAGAAAACTTGAATGTCATAGTAAAATTTAGTTACTAATACAATCAGTGCCTTCACAAACTCATTAAGTGAAACTATAAGAATAAAACAGAATGCCACTGTATATTGAAGAGTAACTACCATGAAGGTTTTGAGAAATCAGAGCCTATTAAGTGCAAACATGATTTTTTTTTGCATATCTCTCTATATATTCATTCTAATTCTTTTGAAGACACCTTAATATTAATTGATATTATAATATACTATTTATATGGCTAAGTGTGTATCACATTTGGCACCATTTTTAAAGGAACAAACTGAGTAGGATCTTTCCATTCACTTGAAAAAGATTCTGAAGTTCAGGAGACTTCAGAGCAAGATAAGAAATAGATCTTTCAAGTAACATTCCTTTGGAAGAAAACCTGATGTTTTTACTAATATAACCCTGAGTGAGCTATACTGAGAAAAACATAAAACAAAAGCTTTATGTGCTTTAAAAAAAATGTGTCTTATTAAAAAAAATTGTTGAGCCCTGGCTGATGTGACTCAGTGGATTGAGCACCAACCTGTGAACCAAAGGGTCACCGGTTCAATTCCCAGTCAGGGCGCATTGCCTAGATTGCGGGCCAGGTCCCCAGTAGGGGGCGCTTGAGAGGCAACCACACATTGCTGATTCTCTCCATCTCCTTCTCCCTCCCTTCCCCTCTCTAAAAAATAAATAAATAAAATCTTTAAAAAGCAAAATAATTGTTGATTCTGGAGTCATATATATATATTGTTTCAATAATATGAACACTCACATTTTTCAGTTACCAGAATCTTATCTTTATTGTTGAATCTATAAGTTTTGCCTAAAATCCATTTTCTAGAGATCAGTGCTAAGTTTTTTTCTCATCTCAAAAGTGTATAATTGCAAGTTATCCCTCTTTGGATTATAGGTTATATACTTTCCCACTTGTATGGTTTTAAACCTTATCATCATTTAATTAAGCCTGAAACAAAAACAAGCATAGAAATATGTAAAAGCAAGTGTACTAAAAAGGTTCTAATACAGACTTCACTTATTACGTGGACAAGATACTTCTTATCTATAAAAGGACTTCCTTTTCAAGTAGTATTGCTGACTAGGTAACTTGAAAACATTCATAATATAAAATTCTGAGAAACATAGAATGAAAAATAACACATCATTTTAAATGCATAGCTGAACAGACAAAGTTAGGGAAATCCTTAGGGACTAAGTATATATGGTAGAGGGAATGAAAAATCAGAGTAGTAAGCCTGAGCAAGGTAATTCTGATGTGTTTTGCCAGTCTCAATAACAAATGGGTTTTATCACACGGGGTCATAAAGCTCAAGGCTTGTCCTAGGTTAGGAACTGGAGCTGAGAGCTTATATAAGATTTGAGATCCTAAAAATATTTTACCTTCAGGGAAAGGGTGAACTAGAACAAATCTTGCCACTGAACACAGTATTCTTACTGTATGTGATTAGAGGGATATAATTAAAGGACAAAACAAATTGCAAATGAATCTTAAATTTTATTCAGTGTTTTGTTATTAGTAGTAATATATCATAGTGTTATTAGTAATATTATTTTATGAATATTATAGAATAAAGCAAGTTAGTAATTTAACATTTTTAGGAACTAAAACTTTTGGTTTAGAGGAAAGAGACATGTTTAAAATCATATAAGAAAAAATCTTTTAATATTATATTTGAATATTATATATGAATGCATGTTGCATAAACCAAAATCTCCTAGCTCTCTCTGGCAGTAAACACACCTAGCTCATAAATCTTGGTTTCTAACTACCACTTCCTACCAAAAAGAACCTGGTCTTTTTAGAGAAATAACTAATTTTACATTGTACAGTAAGACAAGAAATGAAAATTATAAGGATTGGAAAGGAATTTAAAAAACTGCTGTTATTTATATGCAATACAGTTTATCTATCTAGAAAAACCAAGAAAGCAACAAATTGTTAGGAATACTTAGGAATACTAAGTGTTCATCAAGGTTGCTGGGTAAAAATTGATATATAAAAATGAAAACTATGCAATAATTACAAATTATATATTTTTAATCTCAAAAAAATTAAAATACCTTGGGAATAAACCTGACAAAACTGACATACCTATTTTAAAGTGCAGTTTAGTATTATCTAATGAATTTGTAGATACCCTACTATTCAGGAGTTCTACTAGTGGTTATATACAAGAGACATTCTCTCACTGTTCACAGAAGACACAATTTTTTTTTCCTTGAAATATGCTAAACGTTGTTTTAGGCCCTGAGGATTCAGCAGCAGATAAACATAGGAATGTTCAGCATTCTTCCTGCTAGCCAAACATTGGAAACAATGTAAGTGTCTATCAACAGGAGAATGAATAAATTGGCTATATTCATACAATGGAAATGCTGTGTAACAGTTAAATAAATAAGAGATACATTTATCAACATGAAAAAAACCCTAAAAAACAGTGTTACATGAAAAAAGCAAATTGAATATAGACAGGTATTAAGTGATAATATTTACATAATGCAAAACATTAGTATATATTTGTACTACCTGTGGATACATAACATACCTTGTAAAAATGCAGACATGTGTATTGAAATAACATCAAAGGAAGGTGGAACTGTCTGTGGAGAGAAGGGAGACAGGATTTATGAGGGACTTCATGGGGGCTTCAATTGCACCTCAAGTGGAACCTTGGCTCTCGAACTTAATTCGTTATGGAAAACTGTCTGAGAAGTGGTTTGTTTGAAAACCGAATCTCCTTTGTCACCTGAGGGATGTGTGACTGATCATACAGTTATCAGCATGAAAAGGTTGTCGGGTAGAGAATCGAGACCTGAAGTTTTGTTAAACAACTGAGACACTTTTTCTGTGAATAACTTCATCGAGAACTGAATTGTTTGAGAACCAAGGTTTGACTGTATTTTATTTTATTAAACTGGCTGTCTCACCCTGGCAAGTTGGCTCGGTTGGAGTGTTGTCTGGTAACCGAAAGGTGGCAAGTTTGATTCCCAGTCAGGGCACGTACCTACGTTGCAGTTGGGTCACTGGTCTAGGTGCTTACGATCCCTCGTCCAGGTGCACCATCCCTGGTCTGAGAGCATATAATCCCGAGTGCAAGCGGTACAGCCCCTGACTGGAGAACAAATGGCAGAGAGCCAGTCAGTGCTTCTCTCTTGCATCAATGTTTCTCTCTCTCCCTTCCTCTCTCTCTAAAAAGCAATGAAAAACTGTCCTTGGGTGAGGATTAAAAAAAAAACTGGCTGTCATGCAGTGAGTGTTCATTATGTTTTGTATACCTGAAGTAGTTTATAGTAATTTAAATGATCTTTATGGTGTTATACAATTAAATGATGTGAAATAAAATGTTTTGAAAAATGCTATATAAAAATCTAAGTTGTTATAGGTGGTTCATTAAACTTTCTACCTTTCTGTACAATATGCTAAAAATGAGGAAATGTTGATGGTAAAGTTAATATCTGATACCTAAATTAAACCTCCCTTTCTTGGAATAAAATCTAGCACATGACTTCTATTTCTAGAAATGTTCTGGTTTTCTAAGTTTTGAAATAAATTTTTATGTGCTGTTATCACTCATCTATTAATCATTCCCAGTGAGATGGTTGTATGTTCTCTCACTGATGCTAAAGAGTGATACATATTGTTAAGAATGAAATGTCACTCTGTAATAGGCTTCGGTTGTTAAAATTAAATGACCCTGTCATCTTTTCCAGATAAATGCAGTGCGTGCAATAGTTCCCAATAAGAGCAACAATGAGATCATCCTGGTTTTGCAGCACTTTGATAATTGTGTGGACAAAACAGTACAAGCGTTTATGGAAGGTAATCCTAGTTCAATTTTTTAATAAGTTTGCGTTTGTTCAAATATAAATTGCTTCAGACTTCTATAACATTCATTCAGTAACCTGGTGTTTCATAGTTGATACAGTAGACCCTGTGATAGTATAACAGACCATGCCATTTTAAAAAAATACCTCATCATTGAATAGCTACATCAGATTAGGTCTCCCTGTTCCTGTTTTTCTGCCAGTAGAGAATAAACAGGTCCAAACACTGTAAGGTTTCTCCATTGTCATCTGTTTTCTTTATAATGTTAGTATCTGGGTCTAGGGTAGTGCATAGGTCTCTAAAACAATGTAGCTAAGGTGGTGTGTAATGTTCAGGAGGAGAGAGGTTGGCATACTTGGGCTGAAACCACTCGTCTTTGTGTTCAGTCTAAGCTGTATAAATAAAAGAATTTAAAAATCATCAGGTACATTAATCTCTTCTTGGAAGAACTTACTGAGGGGATTACATGGAGAAGGGAAATCTAAATGGGCAGGTATTCCAAAAGATAAGAATGATATGATTATCTCATTATATTAGCACAGAGATTTGAACCTAACTTTTCCTATTAGGAACTTTAGAGATTTTCCAGCAATTACAAAATGCAGGGACACTGATTCCTCCTTGTGCATGTGCTAAGAGAGAAAAGTCTGTAATTGGTTTCTCTTACAGGTAGTGCCAGTGAAGTACTCAAAGAATGGACAGTAACAGGCAAGAAAAAGGTAAAAATTAAATTTAAAAGCATGATATTGATATTATAAAAATATTTAGGCTCTGCAAAAATATTTGAAAGAAAAGATTTACATATGCATCTTCAGTTCATCTGGTTTAAAAAAGTCTTCTGTGAGTTGAAACACAGCTGTGTATATAGAGTACAGTACAGTCTCCTCCATATGATTTAAGACGGAACAGAAGGACCCTGCCACGGTGCAGTTGCGGAGGGTATATTAGTATTAGTCTGGAATGAAACAAGAGGGTGTGCCAGCAAAAGCAGAGCTCCACAGGAGAAAGTGATGTAGACCGTGCTTTTCAACATCATTCATTTATCATAGATTAGTTAAAATAGTTTAGATTTTTAGGTCAACTGTGTTGTAGTCTCTGATATTAATGAGTTTTGACTTAAAGCCCGGAGAGGGGCTTTGCTACTATTAGCTATGCAGAGGGGTCTGATATTGCAATTTAGGGAGGGAGAAGGCTCTTGGGCTGTGGGGTCAGTCAGAACGGGATTTATATTCTATTCTGCTTAACGACTTTGCATCTTGGGAGTATTGCTTAACCTTTGTGTGCCTTAGTTTGCTCATCTCTAAAATAGGAAAATAACATTAACAAATACTAGCAGCTAATTTCTGACATGCTAGTTCTCATTTCCTTCTTCTTGTCCACTTGAAACCAAAATGCTTTCCCCAAAGGATGCTAACTGGTCTCAAAATGCTTCCCACAGCTCTGTGCTCTAGATCTAGTTCCTTTAGGACATACTTGAAGTATGGATTTATTTAAAAAGATTTTATTTATTTATTTTTAGAGGGAAAGGGAGAGCAAAAGAGAGGGAGAGAAATATGATGTGAGAGAGGAACATCAATCCGTTGCCCCTCATCGTACCCCTTCTGGGGACTGAACCTGCAACCCAGGCATGTGATTTGACTGGGAAATGAACTGGTGACCTTTCGCTTTGCAGGATGACCCCCAACCAACTAAGCCATACCAGTCAGGGTTTGAAGTATGAATTTTAATCTAATTTCAGGTATCTCTATGAAATCTCTTTGGAGATTCTTTTCCTATATCAGGTTAGTACTGGGGTTCTGGAATGCTTTCTTGATGACTCTGAATCCCTTTGTTAGGTCACCTGTTAAGTCTTGATCAAATTGGGGTTGGCCCCAATGACCCTTGAGAATTTTTTCTGAAGAGAACCTAATATTACTGCAAATTCCCCTGAAGCTCTCCAAACCTGTAGCTTTGTATATTTGCTTAACTTCTTCCCGTTGCTTTCACCTAACATAAATAGCTCTGTGTGCTCTGGAGAACACAAGTTTATTAATTTGTTGATCCAGGATAGTAAGTTATTTAGTAATGTAGTATATGCTTGAAGCTGGAAAAGTATGTGTTGGACACACATAACTTTCTTAAAATTTAGAGAAAGAAAAACGGCTTCCATTTGGCAATCCCAAATGTCCAAGTCCAGTCCAGTTAACTGTTGGGATCAGTTCAATAGGGTGTGACCGTGAGCAGTTAGTTACTGGGAAAGTTATTACATCCATGGGACAACGATATGAAAACTTAGCCAATTTACATGCAAGAAAGTATATTTAAGTAAATTTAAGAGAAAGCAAGGCAAGAGCTGTGGGGAGGAGAAAATGATATCTAGAGTTCCAGTAGTGCTCCTGTAAAAGAGGGTCATAAGAAGGGTTTGGGGGGAAATGGGTTGCCATGACAGTCTAGCCTTAGGAGTAGAATTAAGCAATTGCTAGTAGAGCTGTGGTTTGTCATAGAGCTGTGGTTTGTCAAAATAAAAGGTGTAAGGGACTTGTTTGTTTGTTTGAATTTTATTATTTGCCTAGGTAACATATTCCTGTGGCCCCAAATTCAAAACTATAAAAGTTGATACATTGAAACATTTTTTATCCTGTCCCTGCTCCCCAGCCATTTGGTTCCCCACCCTAGAGGCAAGCAGAATCATCAGTGTCACATATCTCCCAGGAGTATTTTAAGTGTATATGAGCAAATATGAATATATATTCTCCTCTCTGCCTGTTTTTTTAAATTTAATATATCTTGGAACTTATTCTGTGTCAATATATAAAGAGCTTTCTTGTTTTCTATGGATATGTAGGCATCCTACTGTTTGAATGTACTGTATCTAATTTAACTAGTCCTTTTATTGATCAGCATTTTGGTTGTTTCCAGTCCTTTGCTATTATGAATACTTCAGTGATTAAGCTTGTACGTAGATCATTTTGCACATGTGTTAGTATTGCTGAGGATAAATTCCTAGAAGTGGAATCGCTAGCTCAAAGGGTGTGTGCATTTGTAATTTTGATACCAGATTGCCATAGAGAGTACTATTTAGCACTCCCACAAATCATACAGGGGAATGCTTGTTTCTCTATACCCTCTACCCTGTCCACCCTGTACTGTTATCAAACTTTTTGAATTTTGCTAATCTAGTAGATAAAAATGATATTGTAGTGCAGTATTTTTTTCCAAATGTTTCTTACTATAGAAAACACATGTCATTTACCATTTTAACAGTTTTTAAGTGAATAGCTTAGTAGTATTTAACACATTCATGTTGTACAACCATCACTACCATCCACCTCTAGAACTCTTCTTTTTTTTGGATTTTTTTCTAAGCTGGTACCTAAACTAATTTGCCAATGAAGGCTTTATATTTTACTTTTTTAAAAAATTGACACAATTGTCCTCAGTTGTGTATAACATTATGTTACAATCATGTATAACATTGTTAGTTTCAATTGTACAACATAATGATTTAATATTTGTATGTATTGTGAAAAAACTCTTAACACCAATCACCATACATGGTTACAAAAGCTTTCGTATGTTATACAGACAGATCCCAGCTTAAAATGGTTTGACTTACAATTTCTTTTTATTTTGGGATGATGGTGAGAAAGCAATAGCATTCAGTAGAAACCATGCTTTGAATTTTGATCTTTTCCCAGCCTATCTGTATGTAGTATAATACTTTCTCATGATGCTGGGCAGATAATGAGGGTAAACAACTGATAAGATACTCTACATTGTATTCACTGTGTTGGATGATTTTGCCCAATTGTAGGCTAATGTAAATGTTCTGAGCCCATTAAAGGTAGGCCAGGTAGAGCAACAGATTCCTGGTGCTTCCTCCTCTACCATCTTCCCAGAATTTTCTGCAGTGCATTTTTAATTTATGTCTCTTATTACTGAGGTTGCATTTCATTCCATATGCTTATACCCTACACCATTTTTTTTCCCATTAGGTTATTGTTTTGTTTTGTTTTTTGTTAGAGCTCTCTATGTAGTTAGCTCTTTGTAGGTAAGTTGCACATTTTTTTTTTAAGATTTTTAAATTTATTTTTAGAGAGAGAGGAAAGAGAAAGAAAGGGAGAGAAACATTAATATGTAGTTGCCTCTTGCACGCCCCCTGCAGAGGACCTGGCCCACAATCCAGGCACATACCCTGACTGGGAATTGAACTCGTGACCCTTTGGATTGCAGACTGGCACTCAATCCGTTGAGCCACACCAGCTAGGGTGATAAGTTGCACATAGTTTTTCACACTTTGTAATTTATCTTTTGATTTTGCTTATGGTGAGTTTTGCCATCCATAAATTTCTTATATTTATGTGTTTGAGTTTATCCAAAGTATTTTACAGTGTCATTTTAGTTAGTAATTCAACGTATACAGAAATGTGTTCAGTTTCTGGAAAAACATTTGAGAAATTGGTAATATTGGTTGCCTTTTAGTAACGAGAGTTCCTCTCTGAGTGGGTGGGGTCTTCTCTTTCTTTTCTTTTTTTCAAATCTTTAACAACCATTAGAACAAAAAGAAGAAAAGCAAGCCAAAACCTGCAGCAGAAGCAAGTAACAATATCCCAGATTCCAGTAAATCGGTTTCCATTCAAGAGGAGCAGTCCGCACCTTCTTCAGAAAAAGGTGGTATTAATGGTTACCACATTAACGGTGCTGTCAATGATACTGAGTCTGTGGACTCCCTCAGTGAAGGTATGGAGACACTTTCAATAGATGCCAGAGAACTGGAGGATCCTGAGTCTTCCACACTAGATATGATGGACAGAACAGGTGAGTTTATTAAGAGGTCTTTGAAAAGTTGCATCCTTAGCCAAGGGCTTCCTGGTTGAGAAAGCAATCAATAAATTAAATCTAGTTAGTCTCTTCCTTTTAATTTTTGTTACTTTTCATGTGAAAGAGCCACATTTTTTAATTATCAAAGGCCTAGAAAAATATAATTATTTTCCTTTGTCTCATATTTTAATTTTAGTCTAAAGCAGCCTTGTAGAAATCTTATAATTTAGTAGTCCCTTGGTACTTAGAGACTACAGAAGGTGACCTTAATGTTTTAAAAAATTGCATACTTATTAAGGAAAATTATGGTCATGAGTTGATTTGATCTTATTTTTCTGAGATCCAACACAGTGAGAAATATGTAATAATTGTAAACCCATTGTTTTCAGGAGAAGTAGACTGTTGGTTTTTGTAGTCTCACATTTGTTTTCTAACAAAGAATTAAGATTATTGTTAGTTATAAATTTAAATATTTTGCATGTTTTGTTTTGTTTTGTTTTATTGATCATTTTGATGAATGCTGGGAAGATATTGGGGATATCTCTTTTAAGAAAGTTTTTCAAATTATTTGTTTTTTTGGTTTCTCTTGCTCTATTGCTGCTGGCTTTATAAATGTAAAGGCAATTTAAGAACTATGCTGTACTTTCATATGTTCTTTTATTGATTAGTTTGCACACACACAAAAAAGACAGAGAAATATAACACCTAAAGTGACCTCAAACCAACTAAAGATAGTCATTGGCTTCGATTTTGGGGGAAGCTGGGCTCTCCTTTCATTTTCTAATTCTTTGCCCTTTTTGTTCCCTAAAGCTTTTAAAACTCTTCATTCCCTAAGACAGTGTAAAGCAAGTTTTTCCTCAGCAGAACTTATACAATCTATCAGCAGCTGGTGATGTTGACTCTGTTCCCTTCCTTGTACCCAGAGCTACAAGGAAGCCAACAAGGTACAAGGATAGAGCTAGCCTATCTAGAGATAGGTTAATACAGACTTCTTCATTCAGTACGCTGCCTAGGGCTAAGTCAGAGAGCCTCGCTCGACTGTTTCTGCTCTCTTGATTTGTTCTCAGCCATTTAAGAAGCACAGTTTTGAGGAAAAAACAACTTAAAAAAGAAAGGAAGATAGCTTTGTCTAAAATATTTTTACCTTTTTCTGTGTGTACACTTATGACTGCTTGATTGACTTACCCTTAAATCTTTTAAAACGTTCTCCTGTTTCTTTGACAGGATCCATGCTGGAAAATGGTGTCTCTGATTTTGAGGTCAAGTCTTTGACTGTCCACTCTACTCAGAATTCTCAACAAAATAGGAATGCTGGCAAATCTCTCACAAGGCCCCAGTTTTCACATCTGGGCATGGAAGATGTTCCACTAACTTCCACCAACAAAAAGCTGGGTAAATCAGCGGTCTAGCCTACCCTTCGGAGAACGCGAAAAGTCTGTGTGTTTGTCTAAGGAGGGGAAATTACCTCTTTATTCCCATAGATAAGATCTGAGAAGGTTCTGTAGGTAATCTTCAAGTTTTCTAGGCACAGACTATCCAGTTCTTACCTGACTCTGTGTACACAGTGAAGTCTAATAGCTCAGATGCTATACAGTCTTGTTATAATAGTGGGGATTCTTTTCATGAAAGAAAGTCAAACTCTTCTGCCAGGATGACTTTTATGCTACCATTAATCTGTTTCTTGTATTTGCTGTACTGCACCATTTTTGTGCTGTTTCCTTCATTTTTATCTCCTGGTTGACAACAGTAAAAATCTCTGCCATCTCTGATGTGACATTTGAAAGAAATATTTTCATTTGTCTTCAAAGCTTTATGCTCTTACTAAACTCTGTCAGATTCTAGCTTTAAACAAGATCATTATTTTTTAAGTACTTAGCATTGACTAGTGGTAGCTTTTGTTTTTTTAAAATTTAACTATAATAGCCCTGGCTGGTTTGGCTTAGTGGATTGAATGCCATCCTGCGAACCATTGGGTCGCCGGTTTGATTCCCAGTCAGGGCACATGCCTGGGTTGTGGGCCATGACTCCAGTAGGGGGCACGTGAGAGGCAACCACACATTGATGTTTCTCTCCCTCTCTCCCTCCCTTCCCCTCTGTTTAAAAATAAATAAATAAAATATTTAAAAATAAAATAAAATTTAACTATAATAGTAATTTAAATAATCAGTCAGTAATTAAACAGAGATAATAGCCCTTTTGAGTATCGTACATTTAAATATAGTAGTCCACTCCATTAACCAAATGAAACATAGAAATGTGAAAGATACTTGTAACCTGTAATTCTTTATTGAATTATTTATTCTGCATGAGCTAAATTTAATTAGTAAAGCTCTCTTTTTCATCTTTCTAACATAAACTTCAGTTTAATGCAGAAAAGTAAGTCTGAGAATATTCAAAGTAAAGGCACAAGACTTGAAAGCTTTTAAGTAGATTTTTAGAGAAATCAAGCTGATAAGAAAAAGAATTTAAATAAAAAATTAAAAATCTATATCTGGATACATTATAAACTTCTAAGATCCATTATTCCAGCCATCAATTGTATATTTAACCTCAACACTAGTGACATTGCAATGTCTACATGGTGAATTATATTCTAAAACCTATTTTCAAGTAGGTTTTTTTTCTTAGTCTTTATTTCATTTCATTTTGGATAGTTTCTAATTACTGCCTCCAAATTCATTAATCTTTCTTACTTAAGTTTCTAACCTGTTAATCCCCCCTAGTGTATTTTTCATCTTGGACCTTGTTTTTTTTGCATTTCTAGAGGTTCAGTTGGGGTCTTATTAAAATATCTTCCATGTCTCTCCTTAACATCCTTATGCTTTCCTCTACCTTCTTAAACATGTCATATCTGATTATATTAGCTGTTTTGATGTCCTATCTGCTTGATTCTGCATAGGTGTCATTTCTGCATATGTTTCTGTTAATTGACTTTTCATTATGGGTCATATTTTTCTGCCTCTTACATGTCTAGTAATTTTGTATCAGATGCCAGATGTAAGTTTTGCTTTGTTGATTGCTAGATATTTTTGTATTTCTAAAAATGTTCTTGCAGTTTGCTCTGGGATTGTTGTTTGGAAACAGTTGGAGATGTGTTTTTAAGCTTCGGTAGGTGGTACTAGAGCAGCCTTTATTGAGAGAGAGAGAGGGGGGGGAGAGAGAGAAAGAGAGAGAGAGAGAGAGAGATTAGTTGTATAAGATAGGGTAAATTAAATTCCTATTAACTCCATCTTGGCCAGGATACTTTTTTTTTTTAATCTATAAAAACATTAGTTTTTTTGTTGAAGAGGGGGGCCTGTTAGGAAACATTCGTAGTCCACACATTTGTTATTTTACATGCTTAACTGTTTGGATCCATCTTTCAAGTTACCTATGCTTTGTAAAATTAATCTTTGGGTTTTTTCCCCAAGGTTCCAATATTGAAAAATCTGTGAAAGACCTCCAGCGCTGCACAGTGTCTCTTGCACGATATCGAGTTATAGTGAAAGAAGAGATGGATGCTTCCATTAAGAAAATGAAACAAGCTTTTGCTGAATTGCAGAGCTGGTAAGTTGCATTTGATATCAGTAGCACAAAAAAAAATCATTTATAAAGATGGTCAGCCATTCACCAAGGTCTTTAATTCCTGACTCTACTCTATGTAGTGGAGAGAGACTTAAAAATCCTTTGATAGATTCAGTTTTCTGCTTTGTTCTACTTCTTTTGGTCACACTGTGGGAATGAGCGGGGGAGAGAACTCCCAATGCTCTAGAAATGGGCGTGACATTAGTATTGTTTGGAAATGGACAGATGATAATAGAGTAGATCATGCATTCTTACTTTAGGGATCTGTAATCAATGACATGATGTTTGTGAATAAAATCATAAAGGAGAAAAGATCTGTCTTTATTTTCGTACCTTCTTTCATCCTTCCTAGCGCACCCCACCCTACTGGTTTCTTTCTGCTCTATTACCAGTCACTGACTTGTTTTAGTTTTGTGTTTTTCAAACTGTGACCAAAAGATACTCATGTCGTAAAATGTATTACTAGATATTCTTTAGGGGAAATATGGTTTGGTAGTTAAAGAGGTTTGAAAATACTTTTAACAAAAATTTTATTACTGGACTTCTAGTGCCTTTAAAATGTTAATGTGTGTTGTGTATAAGAGGGAGATATAATATGACATTCCTCAAATGTGTTTGATTATAGAATCTTTTGCGGGGGGAGAAATATATTCTAATGTTTTTCTAGAATACCAAAGCTGTTTTGATTATTAGATACTAGATGTTAATTGATGTTTAAACCACAACTCCTTTCTGGGACGTATTTGCATTTATATAAGGGACTTTTTTGAAACTAGGAAAGACTTCAGAACAAATTAAGTAAAATGATGGGAAGAAAAGCAGCTAGGGGATAGAGGACTGTCTGCTCTGCTTATTTATAAAACTTGCCTCTGAAAAATGAGAAGAAGTATTCATGAATAGAGAGAACCTATATACCACCCTTCCTCCCAACCAACTGTTTTCTTGCCTGTCATGTTCTCTTAGTTCATATTCAACTGTGCCTCTGTTCACAAACTTAATCTGGTTACTTTATGCCACAGCAGACAAGAGGAGTATGGGTACCCTCAGTCTTCCTGTTCTCTGGAATTGAAGAGGCATGAATTAATAAAGATGCAGAATAAAGCCTCCAAAAAGTTACTGACCCCTGTGTTTATCATCTGCAGGTTGTAGAATGGTCCATTAAACCATTATAACCAAAAAGTCATTTTAGGATCGATTCATGTACTAGTCTACCCGTGCTTTGTCCTGAATCCTGAGTTGCCCCTTTCAAGTTTTACTCGTGTAGCTAAAAACTTAATGTCATATCTTCTATGTGTTTTTTTCTTACGAACACTTTTGCTCCAGCCAGATTACTAAATGTCTCAAAAACTTAACATTCTTAATTCCTCTTCCACTTTCCCAGCCTAATATGCTCTCCTGTATCCTTGTACTTATCTAAATTCAGCTAATTCTTCCAAACTTATCTTAAATTAAGTTCTAACTTGTGGAAATTTTTCTAGGTAAACTGATTTCTTCTCTTTCTGCACCTCTGTGAGGAAGCATTATGCCTTTTGTCCTGGATTATGATCATATCAGATATTGTTGGCTCATTTGGAAAAGAATAAAGTACTAAAAGTAGGTCATCACAACTTTGCCTTGATAAGCCTCTGGTCTCCATGATTGTTTAGCTTCCTGGTTACTTAGCCACAGGATCTGATTCCATTCAGAACCAACCTGAAGCAGGAAACACAGTTCCGGCAGAGAGATTTGTGAGTTCCTGTTGGCCTGGAACCTAGCCAGGGGGAGCCTCCTTCAATAAATGACAAATGAAATGGTTTCCTGCCTGGGAACTGTGTATTTAGGATTGATTAGCAGACATAGCAACCAGGTCAATTTAACTTTAGGAAAGAGATTACCTGTCCTTTCCTGCTGGTATAAAACACTACTCTCTGGCTGATTGGGTTTTTAAACTACCTTATTTCAGTGCCCCTTGTAGTTGTTACTTCAAGACATAATTGGCAGGTGAGCTAACTCCATTTGGCACTGAACCAGAGCTTGGAGTTAATGTCACTTAGGAAGCATGTTTTGTGTTGGTTATAGTGTAAAAGAACAGGGCACTAGGGAAATTACACTGATAACTGCTTTCACTATGAGGCTAAATGAAAACTGACATATATCTACGGGAGGGTAAAATATCAGAAGCTTTCTAGTATATAAAACTTAAAAATCTGTTCATATTGATGAATCAGTAATAATCATCTCTGGACTTAAGTTTACTTTTCTTATTATTGATAAAATTGTTAGACATGGTTGGAGCCATTAGTTGACTTAAGTTTAAGGCTATTAAGGAGTGGGATATGGAGTGGAACATGAAGCTGGAATATATAAACTACTTTGGATGGTAGTCATGTGTTGGTGAAAAATACAAATAGGATACACACTCAGCCTGCCTTTTAAATAAAAATTCCTACTTTGTTGAAAGTCAAAAGGTACGTACAAAAGGAGAAAACAGATAAAAGGACTGTCAAGAAATTTGAGATTCTACAGCATATAAAATCAATGTAAGTCTGTATTTAAGATTTTGGGCCCTAGCTGGTATGATGTAGTGGATTGAGCAGCAGCCCGTAAACCAAAGGGTCAGTGGTTTGACTCCCACTGTAGGTCACATGCCTGGGTTGCAGGCCAGGCCCCCAGCAGCGGGTGTGCGAGATACAGCCACACATTGATGTTTCTCTTTTTCCCTCCCTCCCCTTCTCTAAAAATAAATAAATAAAATCTTTAAAAAAAAAAAACATTTTGAAAAATTTTCTAGCTGTTTTCTCACTGACTTTAGAAAAGTTACTTTTTATTTGAGCTTCTCTTTTCTATTAAGCTACTAGAGGTCTTACCAAAGATTTCCAGATCCTTAAATTTAAAGTTTATATAGAGATGCTGGAATCATTTTATGAACCAGAGCACTTTCAAAAATGTCAAAAAAGCATAGAAATAAAGGAATGGGCCAATGTATTATTAAAAAAGTACATATCATTCTATAGTTTTAAATTCTTCAGGTTTTTTATGTTTAAGATAGTAATACCTTATTTCTACTAGTACTTAGCTCCATGAGTCTCAGTGTTCTTTGATTTAATAATTTAACTCTTTAAAGAAATAAAATAAATAAAAATTTAACTTTTTAACCATTTCTGAAAATAACTAATAACATGAAAATCACTTTGCCAAACATATTAAATCATATTATCAAATATGTAGGAATTTTTTTTCTTTTTTTAAGTACATTTTATGATTATGCTATTACAATTGTCCCATTTTTTTCTCCCTTTATCCCCTTCTGCCCTGCACCCCCCCCCATCAGCATTCTTGTCCCCCCTTAGTTCTTGCCCATGGGTCGTACATATAAGTTCTTCGGCTTCTCCATTTCATGTACTACTCTTAACCTCCCTCTGTCTATTTTGTACCTACTATTTAAGCTGCTAATTCCCTGTACTTTTACCCCTCTTTCCCCCCTCCTGCTCCCCTCTGATAAACCTCCGTGTGATCTCCATTTCTGTGATTCTGTTCCTGTTCTGATTGTAGTTTGTTTTTGTTTTTGAGGTTCAGTCGTCCATAGTTGTGAGTTTGTTGTCATTTCACTGTTCATAGTTTTTGATCTTCTTTTTCTTAGATAAGTCCTGTTAACATTTCATATAATAAGGGCTTGGTGATGATGAACTCCTTTAACTTGACCTTATCTAGGAAGCACTTTATCTGCCCTTCCATTCTAAACAATAGGTCTGCTGGATAGAGTCATCTTGGATGTAGGTCCTTGCCTTTCATGACTTTGAATACTTCTTTCCAGCCCCTTCTTGCCTGCAAGGTTTCTTTTTGAGAAATCAGCTGACAGTCTTAGGGAAACTCCTTTGTAGGGAACTGTCTTCTTTTCTCTTGCTGTTTTTAAGATTCTCTCCATATCTTTAATCTTGGGTAATATAATTATGATGTGTCTTGGTGTGTTCCTTCTTGGCTCCAACTTCTTTGGGACTCCCTGAGCTTCCTGGATCTCCTCGAAGTCTGTTTCCTTGGTCAGATTGGGGAAGTTCTCCATTATTTTTTCAAATAAGCTTTCAATTTCTTGCACTTCCTCTTCTCCTTCTGGCACCCCTATGATTCAGATGTCGGAACGTATAAAGTTGTCCCAGAGGTTCCTAGGCCTCTCCTCCCTCATTTTTTTGAATTCTTGTTTCTTCATTCTGTTCTGGTTGAATGTTTATCCCTTCCTTCTCCAAATCATTGATTTGAGTCCCAGTTTCCTTCCCTTCACTCTTGGTTCCCTGTATATTTTTCTTTATTTGACTTTGCATAGCCTTTACTTCTTCCTCTATTTTGCACCTGTACTCAACCATTTCTGTGAGCATACTGGTTACCAGTGTTTTGAATTGTGCATCTGATAGGCTGACAATCCCCTTGTGGCTTTGTTCTTTTTTTGGAGCTTTGATCTGTTCTTTCATTTGGGCCATATTTCTTTGTCTCAGCTCACCTGTTATGCTGTAAGGGGTGGAGCCTTAGGTATTCGCCAGGGAGAAGGGCAATCTGCTTTCCTGTGTTGTGGTGCTGTATGTCAGGGTGGAGTCCGAGAGGGAACAATGCCGCTTGCTTGTATCTCACACCACTTCATGTCACTTTCCCCACTACCCATAAGCAAATTGTGCCATTTGGGTGCTGATTCCTAAGTGGGTGGGTTTGTGTATGTTCTAGAACCCCGTGTGTCTCTCCTACAAACTCTTCTGTGAGACTGGGAGTTTCCCCCACCTCCGCAATATCCACAGGTTTTTATAGCCAGAGATTTTGATCCCGCACTGGAACCCATGGTCTATCCCGCTCCCCAGTTGTTCCTTCTGGCTTATCTGCATGCAAATGTGGGACCGCCTGGTCTGCCAGCCACTGCCTCGCCTGCCTGGTCTGCTGCCTTGCCCCAGCATCCTCTCCGTCCTGGCTCCCATCTCGGCCCCTCCTACCAGTCTGGGTGAATGTTTCTTCTTTAATGCCTT